ATTAAGCCAGCATCAAGGGCTAGCCCCAATTTAGATGAAAATTTGGGGCCACCATCATAATGGGATGGGCATCTTGGAAGGAGACTGAGTTTATTTTGCACATGGGAAAAATGGGAATCATGGTAGCCAGTAGTTCACCTGTGACAGTCTCCAAGGATGACTGCCATCAGTCCCTCTGCTTTTTATATGTGTTCCACATACCAAGAAATAGAGAATAATTCCCTTCCCCTTGTATCTTGGCTAACCTTAGTGACTTCCTTGACCAAAAGAAGTAGTAGAAATTACCTTTAGGACTTCCATGTGAGGTCCTAAGAAGCCTTGAAGTTTCTACCCAGAAAACTCTCAGGTATCTAACTCTTGGACCTCATTCTCGGAAAGTGCCACCACAGCTAAGGAAGCCACATCATATAAAGAGGCCACATGTGAGCACAGGCAGTTGACAGCTCAACTCAACTCAGTCAATGAGCAGCAGCAACATTCGGCAATGGAGAGAGTCCTCTTGGACCCAGCCCTGTTAAGCATTTGGGGAATTCCATTCCCATTCTGTAATTGACTGTAACAGTATGAGAGACCCTAAGCAAGAACTGGCCAGCAATTCTACAGAATCCCAGGAGTGATAGTAAACTGTATTGAAGGCATTAAGTTTTAGAATAGTCTGCTTAGGCAATAGACTACTAAAACATTTGATTATCAGGTCACACTTTCTTCAATAGGCAATAAGTCCCTGGAGAATACTGAGACAAAAAATAACTTTCTCAGAGCTCTGCTTTGGGGTAGATTCCTCTAATAATTACACGTAATAATGAGGGTCATAGAGAAACTGAACACAAAAAGGACAAGAAGCCACTATAATAGTCCAAGCAAAGTCAAAGAGCTTGGTGCTGATAACGCCAAGGTCGCGGGTTCGATCCCCGTTCAGGCCACCATCTAGCTGATTGGCTCCTCTGTGGTGATGCTCATTGGAGATGTTCATTGGGTTGTTTCCCCGCCCTTCAGACTGCCAGCTGATGATTGGCTCACAGCGGCCCCAGCAACATCTAGCTGATTGGCTCCTCTGCGGTGATGCTCATTGGGCTGTTTCCCTGCCCTTTCAGACCA